TTTTTTGAGGCAGAGTGTCACCTTGTTGCCCAGGCTAGAGTGAGTGCCGTGGCGTCAGCCTAGCTCACAGCAACCTCAAACTCCTGGGCTCAAGCAATCCTCCTGCCTCAGCCTCCCGAGTAGCTGGGACTACCGGCATGCGCCACCATGCCCGGCTAATTTTTTCTCTATATATTAGTTGGCCAATTCATTCCTTTCTTATAATAGAGATGGGGTCTCGCTCTTGTTCAGGTTGCTTTCGAACTCCTGAGCTCAAATAATCTGCCCGCCTCGGCCTCCCAGAGAGCTAGGATCAGATATATTTTTGAACCATGAGATCTTAAGACATTAACCAATTCTTAGAAAAGAAGCCAAAAGACATAATTAATGAGCACTTTAACAAGCAGTCATGTAATAAAGCATATTTTTAGCAAATGATGTTTGCATAGAGAAATGTATATTTAAAGGGGGCAAATTCCCTTCTATGACCCTACCCTTATTAAAGGCGACGCCGCTGACCCCAGCATTCTTAATCAGAGCATGGACTCCAACTGGTTTTCTCAGGGATGATGATGGATTCAATCAGAGCCATCCCCACTCTCTTACCACTGTGAAGAGTGATCCACTTTGGCAGTTCAGCTCATTAGTATTTGGTGGGTACAATCTGTATCTGTGGTTTTGAAACAGAGAAAAGCTAAGCAGGAGGGTAATGTGTATTTCCACCCTGAGGCCTTGATCTCATTAAAACCGGACTCAGCCTAATACTAATCTATACACACTAATTTCCAGACCAGATCCCGCTCAACAGTAAGGCAGTATATGCTTATCTGAGCATGGACAGATGCTATATGCATTTTTTATTTTTCAATCCTGTTATGCCGATCTCCTCTTATTGCCTTCCCCCAATTCCCCACAAAGAAAGGGGTTTGGCCACATTTCATATTTATAGTCTTCTCTTTTACTCTCAGACAAGAGATCTCTCTCTCAATTCTTCTTTAACTCAGTCTAAAGCTCTTCCTGTAACCCCCTCACACACTGTACACACACATAGAGCAGGATTTCCATACATGTTGGTTTTATACTTACTGGCTGAAACCCTTAGACCAGGGGTCCTCAAACTTTTTAAACAGGGGGCCAGTTCACTATCCCTCAGACCATTGGAGGGCCGGACTATAGTTTAAAAAAAAACTATGAACAAATTCCTATGCACACTGCTCATAGCTTATTTTAAAGTAAAAAAGCAAACGGGGAAAAACACTCACATGTGGCCCGCGGGCCGTAGTTTGAGGACACCTGCCTTAGACTACTAGAGTCTGAAGATTTTTAATTTCTACATATTAATCCATTTTGGATATTTTGAGTTTTACCAATTAGAAATAAATGACAAGTGGGCAATTTTTACAAGGTGACAGTAGAGAGAATGATATTGGGAACACCAGTATTTTATAGCAGAGTGCAAAGTCACAGAAAATTCTGATTTTTCTCTAAATAGTTCTGGTGTTCTTAGTACCATTATGCATATTAGTTAATGTCTCAACTCTCGCTAACTTTTGATACAATATGACAATGAACAACCGAAAGAGCATTGTTGTTTTTAAATAAAATGTGGTTTATTTTTCCTTGCCATTATTTTAGAGACAGAGGTAAGGAAGTGTGACTTCCCAGCATATGAAGGGGTTGTCAGAAAGAGGGAGGTCAACAAAGGAGACTTTCCTGATCATTTCCTTTCACCACTTTGCTTGTTACATCAAATGGCAAGCCTAGAGAGGTTTTTCTATATGTGAAACCTAGTTTATGACGAAGGCATTGGTCCCCAGGAAGTGTCCACCCCTGTTCCTTGCCCATCAGAGCTGAGTCTATTAGCAGCCTTGTTTTGAAAGCTGTCCTCAGCTTTAGCTGCCCATGTCAGTAGGCATGCTTGCCCAAGCACTCAATGTACAGGTCAGATTACTTCTGCTGAGTTTGTAGAGGATACTCAGTGATGGAAATAAATTTTAGTTTATTAAAACTCTAAAATAGGCACAACATCCTAGCACTCTGGGAAGCCGAGGTGGGCAGATTGCTCAAGGTCAGGAGTTGGAGACCAGCCTGAGCAAGAGCGAGACCCTGTCTCTACTATAAATAGAAAGAAATTAATTGGCCAACTAAAAATATATAGAACAAATTAGCCGGGCATGGTGGCACATGCCTGTAGTCCCAGCTACTCTGGAGGCTGAAGCAGAAGGATCCGCTTGAGCCCAGGAGTTTGAGGTTGCTGTGAGCTAGGCTGACGCCACGGCACTCTAGCCAGGGCAAACAGGTGGATCTAAACACGTGGTGGCAGTGGAGGTCTTCCCAGACAGATGAAACAATGTTCAAGGGCACGGTGGCAGTAAAACATGGGCTGTGCACAGGGACATACAGGTAGGTGATCCTTGCTGGAACCTGGGTTTATCAAGGCCTTTTTTCTGAGTGTGAACCTAATAGTAACTAACCCTTGCTATATGGAGTTTTCAGATTTTTTTTTTTTTTTTTTGTGACAGAGTGTCTCAAAAATTATTTGAGACTCTGTCTCAAAATAAAATAAAATAAGGCATAACATACGAAATATTGAAAATGTTAGTATTTGTAATCCTAACAAACATACAACCCAAATCCAAACAGACTGAATCTTTTATTGAAAAAAAAAGTTATAAAAATAAGTTGCAACAACAGAGAAATTTGTATCTGCTCCTTTTCCTAGAATGACTTAACTTCTTTTCCAGTGTGGGCTTACCCTCGGTTTCTGCCCCGTGGCCACATAAGCAGAATCTGATCTCCTTCTCCAGTTCCCCAGAAGAGGTGACTTCTAAACCCATTCACCCAGTTAACTAACTTTTGTTTTTCGCATTTTTGTTAACATTTAATTATTTTGTTTCATAAAACAGAAATAATAAAGAAGTAAAAGCCCCATATCTCCTGCCCCCACTCTATACCATACACCCCACTGCCTCCCACCCCCCGATCCTGAGCCCACTTTCCCTAGGTAATATGTTTTTCCAGACATTTGCTACATTTATTCAAACATAAATCTTTAATAAAAAGCAAATATCAGTCTACAAATATACATGGCATATATACAGAGAACTTTTGGGGGATTATTTTTATACATAAAACAAAAGGTCCCATCATATGATTTTTTTTTTAATTTAACAATACAGTGGACATGCCTGTGACACGATATACAGGATCCCAGTCTTTTACATATTTATTGCTTTCAATCTTTTCTTCATATGTCTCCTTTCCCATGGCTCAAGTGTTTCCCACATACAAACGAACACTCCCTAAACCATGTAGCCCATCTCACTCACTCCCTGACTCACTTTCTCCCTTCCACTCACTCCTGAGTCCTGTAGTTTGACTTCCACCCCCGCTACTCCCCTGTATGTGCTCGAAGATCCAAAGTAAACGAAGATCCACTTTTCAGCTCCTATCTTAGAGGGCTCTTCAGCCTCTGTTGCCTTTTTCTCTTTTGATTCCTGTTCTGAAAGCTTGCATCTACCTCATTGCCTCCCTGCTTCCCAGCAGCGAGTTTCATCCTGTAGTGGACATGTGGCAATAATCTGGAGACACTTTCGCTTGTCAGAGTTGGGGTGGTGTGGGAGGATGGGTGCTACTGGCATCTAGTGAGTTCAGACTAGGGATTCTGCTAAACATTCTACAATGCAGGGGATAGGCTCTAGAAATAAACTCGTACCTGGTTTTAAATGTCAAGAGTGCCAATGTGGGTAAACCCTGACCTAGATATTAACAAGCCCAAGTACATTTCTGAGAAGTGCAGACCCTTTAATAACTGGCTAGGGATCAGGTTCCAAATCCTGATGATGACTGTTGTACCCTCAACAGGAGACAACCCAAAGTAACAGCTAGTTGCTGCAGAGATGTCACAGGGTCAAGACAGCTTCTCATTCTCTAGGTCCACGGGGCAATGTCCAGGGCTCTTCCAGTTGTGACTCAGTCTGGTCCAGCTGTAACCCCTCCCCATCCTTCCACCTGTGGGTTCAACCATACATGTAGTCCCTGTCAACACAGCTCATAGTTATTTGAGGGAGAGAAGCAGACCAACCCCTCACCTACCCACTCCCATCCTCCCCCACCTCATCCCCTCCTTCTGGAAGTTGATTGCCCCACGGGATATGTTTCTGTTGTATTTCACATTGCTGAGATCACTGAGAGCTTTGTATCCAGATTCCCCTCTCACATTCACCATGGTGATAGGAAGGGGGAGACAATCTCTCAAGGTGGCACCACATTTTGGCCCGCGGTCTAGACCAGGAAACCCTCTGGGTCACTGTCAGTTGCTGACTTACCTCCTTGGCAGTGGCATGAGTTCCCTGTTCAGATCAGGCTGTCCCGGGTTCTGCCCACTGGAAACTGCGGTGGATTCTGTCTTGGGCTGCACAGTCTTAGCAGTCCTCGCCTGCAGCCAGTGCTGGCATCCTCTGCGCGCAGCCCTGAGGGATTCTCTTAGGGGTGGCTAATCTCTGCTGTGTTGATTTGAGTCAGCACCAATCTCAGGTTAACCCCAGGCCTGTTTTGATTATTTCTCGTGATATAACTCCCTCAGAACATGAATGAGCTTCCTATCCAGTTCATTCCTTGACTCTTGGAATGCCAGAATCCCCTCCACTCTTCACACCCTGATGCAACTCCCTAGTCAGTTCCAACATTTTCTTTGATGGTCTTTTTGTTCGAAATTATTCTTTTGGTACCAATTTCTGACTGAGAAATAACCCGGTTGCCCAGAACAGGAACCTATTCAAGTTAGCTTAAAGAAAAGGGATTTTTGTAAAGTGGATCTTCAGGTAGCACAATTGCAGGAAGTAAAAAGTGGTTGGGGCAGGACCCTGTGGCTCAAGCCTGTAATCCTAGCACTCTGCGAGACCGAGGCAGGAGGATCGCTTGAGTTCAGGAGTTCGAGACCAGCCAGAGCAAGAGTGAGACCCCATCTCTACTAAAAATAAAAAAATTAGCTGGGCATGGTGGCACATGCCTATACCCCCAGCTACTTGGGAGGCTGAGGCAGGATAATTGCTTGAGCCCAGGAGTTTGAGGTTGTTGTGAGCTAAGCTGATGGGGCATTCTACTCAGAGCAAGGGAATGAAACTCAGTCTCAAAAAAAAAGTGGTTGGGCACCACCAATCTCTCCATGGCTCTGGAGTCACAGGATGAACTCCTCTGTGCCTGTCTGTGCCCTGGAACCTCATACTGTTGTCTTCTAGAAGACACCTGTCTCTGTAAAGCATCAGTTCTATTCCCCCACAGCCAGGGCTAGATCTTAGCTGTGGCATTGCTATGGCTCTGACCCTAACCCCAGCTCCATGTGACCCTTTGCTGCATTGCCCAACACCATCCTGACTAGAATCTGCCTCTCTGTTCAGATTCTCTAGTGTGAAAGTCAGTTGGCCTCAGGATGGGTCGGATGTTCACTCTTGCTACAATCATTTAAGGCCTAGGTATGGGAGAAGGTGGGGTGTTATATGCATGGCTGCCTAGGTCCACCAGATTCTAGGGTGGGGAGAGAGAGACACACACACACAAATAGAAGCAGCAGCAGTTCTGGGATGTTGAATGCTAATGCTCTGGAATACAAAGGGCATCATCAAAACATGCAAAACATGTCTGTCTCTCTACCTACACCCCAAATCTATACATTCCCTTGTCCACCCTCAGTCCCCCACCCTGGGCTCTACCTCTCTTACAAACCCCACCTTACCCCATCCTCCCACCTACCCCTTCCCCATACTCTTCCCAGCCCCCTTCCAACCTCACCCCTCCCTCTGGAAATGATTTCCCATTTCTGAATTTAAAGGCTTTGCAGCCAGATTCCCCTCCCACAGAAGAAGCAAACTTCCCTCTGTGAATAATTCACAGCTTTACACCAAGGGCATTCCCAGTCTCCCGGCCTGTGAAATACCGGATTTCTTCTCTGGTGATGGGGTTCGGAGTCTCTCCTGTCTTTTTGGATTTCTTGAGGTTCTATTCCCTGGTACCCCACATCAGACCACAGGCAAGAATCATAGCCCCCCCAGGATGGCGGCATCTGAGGTGGAGGTGGTGGTGGTGTGGCCCTTTCTGTTGGTGGGGATGGACTGGGTCCAGCTGAGAAGGAGGACAAAGGGCATGCGTATGTGTATGTGAATGAGGCAGGGAGCTGGATAGGAAGGAGCTCCAGTGAGGTGCTGGCCTGTGGCTCCTGGATCCCAGAGGAAGAAAACATGGCTGTTTCCACTGACCTGAGATCTCCCTCCCTCTGCCCCCCAGAGGTGTAATTTTTCTCCATAGCTCTGAGAAGCCGCAGGAAACCTCCATCCATCTCCTGCGTAGCCTCTGTGGGCCCAGCCATCATCTGGGCATCCATCTCCTCCTCTACTCCTCCTTCAGCAACACCAGCAGCAGCTGCTGCCTCCTCTTCCTCCTCAGCTACTCCTTCTGTCCCAGCCCCTTTGGCTGTGGCCTGTTGACGCTCCTGGGTATACCTCAGCTGGTGGAGAGAAGTGGACAGGGCTGAGATGTGTTCTGGGGGTGGGGAGGGCGTGGGGTGGGGGAACCGGGCTGAGCGGGGACCAGGTGTGTAATCTTACAGTGTGGAGGAGCTTCCATCTCAGTAGGTCTCTTTCTCTCTGTGCCTGGGTAAGGTTGTTCTGGACCATATGCAACCTGAAAGCAGCATCCTTCCTCTCCATCTCCTGCTGTGCCCTGAGCTCCCTCAGATCTGTGGCCAAGGCCTGCGCTGCCGACTTGTGCAGTTTGGCATAGTCGTTCAGCCACTGCACCCTGCGCCCTTGTAACTGCCCCTGCCTGCGGGCAAAACGCATTCCCAGGGCCAGGCCGCCCCAGGTACAGGCCTCCTTGGCCTGGCTGGGCATCTCTTTGTCCTCCAGGATGGCCTTGAGCTTGTCTTCCACCTCCTCCCAGGACAGGGATATATTCTCCCGGTAGAACTCAGGGCCTCTCACGTGCTCGGCCATCTTCTCATTGATGAAGGCCACCACCTTGGCCTGCTGGAACCCACCACAAGGGTCATCGGGTTTCAAGGCCATAATGGCGTAGGGCCTTAGTGGTTTTGCCAGGGCTGTGAGGATGGATCAACCAGTAGTATCCTCCCCTCTCCCTTAACCCCGCCCCCTTTCCTTAGCCCCGCCCCTTCCATAGCTCTGCCCCCTATTCCCATCCCCATGCCTCTCCCTTAGCCCCGCCCCTCTTCCTCAGCCTCTTCTCTTCCCTGAGTCTCCTCCTATGACCCCACCCTGCCCTTCCCCTGTCCCCTCCTTCTACTCCTCCCCCCTTGGACCAGACCCTCATAATGACCCCCTGGTCAACCAGTAGTACCCGCCCCTCTCCCTTATCCCCTCCTCTCCCTTTCAGTGTCCTCCAATCCCCTTGCCAACCGGCTCCTCCTCCTGTCCCTCCTCCTCCCTCTTCCCCCTCAGACCAGACCCTCATAATGACTCCCTGAGGGCTTATTTGGCCTTAAGGCATCTTCTCACCCTGACTAACCTCTGAAGCCAGGGGCCAGAGAAAGTAGAAGCCAAGCACGCCCACCCACCAGATCCAAAGAGAACAGAGGCTCTCTCCTTCCCAGGGCTCCAGGGAAAGGAAGGCTTGGGGCGAAGCCTGAAGGCTTTTACAGTTGGACTGTTCCAATTTGTAGCAACTGTGGGGGTCAGAGGGAGCGGGAGAGGAAGTCCCCAGCCCCTCTTCTGGATATAAGGGAACCCACTATATGGTTGAAAGCCCTTGAAGGCAGGAAGAAACAGGACTCGTCGGCAAAGACTTAAAACTAAGAAAATTAAGTACTTATAATCAAGTCAAAATATTCCCACCTTCCCCCCTGCCCCAGTTTGCCATGATGGTTTGTCCCTCAAGAGGGGCTGCCAGGCCCCCCTCCTGAAGGTGGATTGTTCTAGAACAGGAAAAAGCACCAACCTCTCAGTGGTTTCTGGCGCCACCTCTGGAGAAAAATTCTGTAGCTTCTTTTCCAGACTCCTGAATTCTAGGACCCAGTTTAGGAAACTGTTTTAGTAAAGGGCCTTGTATTAGGTATTGGAGGCTGTGTGGGCAAAAGATCTTGTTCCCAACTACTTGTAGCACAAAAGCAGCCATAAATAATGAGCATGGCTGTGTTCCAATAAAACTTTATGTATAAAAACAGGTGATTGGCATGATTTGTTCTATAGTTTGCCCAACTATTAAATATATTTTGACAGGAGTAAGGTGTATTTTATTGTAGTTTTTACTTGCATTTCTCTGATGATTAGTGATGTTGAGTATTTTTTCTTATGTTTGTTGCCCATTTCTATATCTTCTTTTGAGAAATGTCTGTTCATGTTTTTTGCCCACTTTTTTTTTCTGGGCATGTTGCATGGACTAGAGTGCAGTGCCGTCGTCACAGCCCACTACAACCTCAAACTGCTGGCTAAAGTAATCCCTCTGCCTCAGCTTCTCAAGGAGCTGAGACTACAGGTGCATGTCACCATGCTTGGCTAATTTTTATACTTTCTTTAGAGATGGGAATCTTGCTCTGAGGCTGGTCTCGAACTCTTGATGTAAAGTTAGCCCCCTGCCTCAGCCTCCCAAAGTGCTACAGTTATAGACATCATCTACTGTACCTGGCCTGTTTGCCCATTTTTTAATGGGATTATTTGTTTTTTATTCTTTCTGATTTATTTGAGTTCCTTGTGGTTTCTGTATATTGTGATCCTTTGTCAGATGTATATTTTGCAAATCTTTTTTCCCATTCTATACGTTGTCTACTCTGTTGTTTCTTTTGCTGTGCAGAAACTTCTTACCTTAATTACATCCCATTTTTTTGTTTTTGTTGCATTTGCTTTGGGGTCTTAGTCATAAATTCTTTGTGTAGGACAATGTCTGGAAGAATTTTTCCTGGGTTTTCTTCTAGAATTTTTATTGCTTCAGGTCTTACATTGATGTTTTTAATCCATCTTGAGTTAATTTTTGTATATGGTGAGAAATAGTGATCCAAAATAAAAATGTTCATAATATAACTCACCGTTTTCCCTTTTTTTTCTCTCTCTCTCTTTTAACTTTAGATAAATTAAATTTAACAGAGTTTACTTGCACAAAGAGCAATTCATGAACTGGGCAGTACTCGTAACTGGAAGAGGTCAGAGAGCTCTTCTTAACAATGTGTGCAGTTAGCTTTTATAGCTAAACATGGTAGGGAAGTAGAGAAATCCCCCGACTGGCTACAGCTAGGCATTTGCCTTATTTGGACATGATTTGATCAGTTGGCTGTGGTAGTCTGAAATGTGGCTGCTTCAGACTGGCTCAAACTCACTATTTGTTATACTACTATGTTAGGTTTTAGTTTGTTTGTGTACTAGGTTAGGTTAGGTTGTAGTTTGTTAGGTGGGAACTCAAAGTGTGGAAACAGCTTCAGGCCTGTGTCCTCCTGCTTATTTATTTTAACACTCCCAAGAGATGATTCCCTTCCTATGTTACTTGATACAGAAACCTCATAATCATCAACACCTACCTACCCTTAATAACAAATCAAATTAGTCGCCAAGTGTTGTTACTATAAATCTGAAAAACTTTTCAGATATCCATGCTGACTTAGGGAGTACCTTTGTTGGCTCCTGATTTTCCTATCTTTAATCTCTACATAATTCCCAATCACTTCCTAATCTTTCCTATGATCATGCTCTTCTTAAGCTTCAAAACATTTGCTGGCTCTTTGTGACACACTCCTTGTCCTGATATTAGAGTCTTACCCCAGGCTACCATCCTAATTTAACTATGTCTGGTCTCCTATCTACCATTGTTTATGCATCCAACGTACTAAGCCATACCCAGATTTACTCATTTTGGATTTTAAGTTATTTTTCCTTCTGAAAAATTGGGGCATTCATTATTTATTATATGTTTATTATGCTATGTTCTATGAACTACATTTAAAAAGGCAAAACTTCTGTAAGAGTCTTATGTCAGATAGTAAGAGAAAAAATAAAAAAATTTAAAAATTAAAAAACGTAATAAATCAGGCATTAAAATATTACTTAAGAAGGTGGTTAAATCCCAGAGGTATAAAGTTGCACTGCTTTAAGTCTCTTTTTAAACGTTGTCTTGTGTTTTCTTTCTATCTGAACTTACATATTTTATTAGGTTATTATATATGAAATGTCTGATTTCAAATGTGAAGTTTAGTTTGATTTTTATTATATCTCAAACAAGAATTAGTGCCATTAATCAAAATATATGTCTAAAATATCGATACAGTTTTGTCATCTTCACAGTAGGTTATTTATGCCCGTAGCAAAAAAGCTCAGAGAGAAGGTGGTAATGAAATTGTGAAAGGTGTTTTTCACAACATTTTGAGAATTGAATATTTTTTCTTGTTAGAGGTGATCCAAAGTCTGGAAAAAGTGGTAGTCTGTTGATGTAAGGTGTGTTGAATACAGTGGATGACAGAGAGTTTCTAAGTCTAGTCTCTGTACTTGGAGCAGCATTGTTTATGCGACACGTGGTCTAGGGTTGTGTTGTAAGAGGATTGGCCTGTCTCTATCAACCAATCTTGGCTGTTTAATCATAAGCATCCTCATCATTTCACCCAACTGGTTGCAGTAGACATCCTCTGTAATCGATTGACTAGGTTTTATGAAGCTGTAGTGGATGATGCCAGCGCTGGACCAGCAAACAGGCACCATTACCTTTTTTTGATGAATATTTGGTTTTGGACTGCGTTCAAGTACTTTATCCAGGCATTGTACTGAACTCTTGTGACTGTTAAAAAGAATCTATTTTTTATCACACTTAAAAATACTATGTAACAAGGATTCGCCTTTATGTTGCCGCAGTAAAGAAAGACAAGCTTTGAGAAAGTTTTTCTTTTGACATTGTTTTAATTTATGCGGTACCCATCTAGCCAGATTCTTTACCTTGTCCATTTCTTTTAAATGGTCTAATATTGTTGAAATAGTAATGTCAAACCTTGGTAATTTATGCATAATGTGAGATGAATTCACTTCTACTTGGGTCTTTATCATTATCCACCTTGATCTCAGATCATCCATGTTGCTCATTTTTAAGATGAAAATTACCAGAACAGAACTTTTTTTTTTTTTTTTTTTTTGAGACAGAGTCTCGCTTTGTTGTCCAGGCTAGAGTGAGTGCCGTGGCGTCAGCCTAGCTCACAGCAACCTCAAACTCCTGGGCTCGAGTGATCCTTCTGCCTCAGCCTCCCGGGTAGCTGGGACTACAGGCATGCGCCACCATGCCCGGCTAATTTTTTATATATATATCAGTTGGCCAATTAATTTCTTTCTATTTATAGTAGAGACGGGGTCTCGCTCTTGCTCAGGCTGGTTTTGAACTCCTGACCTTGAGCAATCCGCCCGCCTCGGCCTCCCAAGAGCTAGGATTACAGGCGTGAGCCACAGCGCCCGGCCTCAGAACAGAACTTTTTAAACCATCTATGTACTGTGTTCATTAGCCACATCGTTTCTAAACACTTTTTTGATATTTTGGGCTGTCTGTGTTGTATTGGTTTTACGATAGAACTCTTATTTGAAAATAATACGAACTTTTGATTTCTCTATGGTTGTTCAAAAATTTGAAAGATAATCGCAAGTCAAAATGTGCGTTTGAAAGAATGAGGATGTACCTTCACGATAAAAATAAAATAAGTGTCCAAGTGAAATGTCACAGATATTAACTGTCAAACTTAGTACTTATGGAAATTAGACATTTCATACTTAATAACCTAATATTTACCAGCTTTTAGTGGAAAGGGTTGCTGTTTGGCTTATTTTAGAGAGACTTCTGGGGAAAGACCAGTCAGGAAATAATGCATTAAACAAAATGGTGAGGAAAGAGGGCAGCGGCTGGAGTCAGGCAGATCTATTAGAGAAATGCCACAGTAATTCAAGAGATAAACTAAGGCAGTGGAAGTAGGTATTAGAGAAAAGGGTGTAGAGAGCCATTTGGGAGGTAAAAGCATAAGGAAGGCAGGGATAATTCCCAGGTTTCCGATATAGGGGACTAAGTAGAGAGTGATGCTATAGACTTAGATGGAGAATGAAGAAGTTGTTTGGGTTGAATAGACCTTTAGATATATTGATATTGAGATATTTGTTCCATGTGCTGGTGGAGCTACCCAGTAGACAAGTTGCTATTATGAGTCTAGAACGTAGCAGCGACATCAGGACTGGAGATGCAGTATTGGAAGGTATAAGTTGGATTTATATAAATGATTCAAATAACCCAGTGTGAAAATATAAAGCAAAAAGAGAAGAGGGCTGAATACAGCATCTTGGCTTGCCTCCATGGATCTCTTCCTTTCTATCACTATCTGCTGTCATTGGGGGTTTTACAGCTGTTCCCCTTACTCCTTTATGTTCTTTTCTTCTAACCTCAGAAAATCTGTTACCCTATCTATTTTACTTCTGTTATAACACTTTAAATATGGACATCAGCTTGTGAGCAGTTGTCTTTTTATGCAGCTGTTCTTTTACTTCTGCTTATACACACTTTTAGCAAATTAAAAGTAAATTGTTTCTTTTGGCCAGAGGATTGGAGGAATGAGAAACTGAAAATAGGGGAACCTGTTAGGAAGCT